TATATATATATATATATATATATATATATATATATATATATATATATATATATATATATATATATATATATCATCCATTTTCCCCCTCATTTTTTAAATGTATTTTTAACAATTTCTTGACTATATTATACTGAAAATTAAACTCATATACATATATGAATAGTTTTTATAAACCATTTTTCATTGTTTTTAATGCTTTTATAACAAGTCCTTGACATATCCCACTAATAGTTAACCTCTCTCTCTCTCTCTCTCTCTCTCTCAGACACACACATATTGATATATGATATCCAGGAACAAATATAAATAAATAAATCCTAGGTGTTCTTTTTCATGGAATAACACAAAAGACCTTTTTGTTTCTTTTGTTGAATTGCTTATATTATTTTTTCTTAAAAAAATACTATATTATTGATCCTATGATATATGTATATACACCAATTCTTGACATATTACACTGATTTATGAATACATATATAGGTAGCTTTCTTCTTAGATCTATTAATGGATAACAGATCATATTACATGCTGCCATGTTGCTTTCAGTTTCTTCAAGGAATGCCCTCACCCTGATGACAAGCAGAGGAAGGAGCTCAGCAGAGAGCTCGGCCTCGAACCTCTCCAAGTCAAGTTCTGGTTCCAGAACAAACGCACCCAGATGAAGGTACACCTCCATGTCTCCAAGAACTGCCACCGTGATACCTTTGACCTTCTCATCGACAACCCCATCATGATCCACTAATCTCTGGTTTCCGAGTTGTTTCATGGGTGCAGAACCAGCACGAGCGGCAAGAGAACAACCAGCTGCGAGCCGATAACGAGAGACTCCGTGCTGAGAACTTACGGTATAAGGAGGCCCTCAGCAACGCCTCGTGCCCCAACTGCGGCGGGCCTGCCTCCCTCGGCGAGATGTCCTTCGACGAACACCACCTCAGGATCGAGAACGCTCGGCTTAGAGAAGAAGTAATCTTCCTTCATTTTCACCACAAGGCTTCGATTGGCGGCTGACAGGGCTAATTGCACCCTTCCTTCCTTGACAGATCGATAGGATATCAGGGATCGCCGCCAAGTACGTCGGCAAGCCGATGGCGTCGTACCCACTGCTCTCGCCTTCCGTCCCTTCCCGCCCGCCGTTGGATCTCGGCGTCGGAGGCTTCGGCGGCCAGCAGGGCGTCGGGGGGGAGATGTTCGGGCCGGGAGAGCTGATGAGGAGCGTGTCGGGTGCGGCCGAGACGGACAAACCGATGGTCGTCGAGCTTGCGGTGGCCGCCATGGAGGAGCTCATCCGGATGGCGCAGCTGAACGAGCCGCTGTGGATACCCGCTGCGCTTGACAACGCCACCGAGGCCCTCAACGAGGAGGAGTACGTCAGGACGTTCCCGAGAGGGATCGGTCCACGGCCGTTCGGGCTCAAGTCGGAGGCATCGCGGGAGACGGCGGTGGTGATCATGAACCAGATGAACGTGGTGGAGATCCTCATGGATGTGGTACGTAAAGTCGCAGTCTTAGCAGGTGTTTCAGAGAAGAAGGCTCGATCGGATCATACATGCGCCTAATTCTCGTCTTCCACAGAATCAGTGGTCGAATGTGTTCTCGGGCATCGTGTCGAGGGCCATGACGCTCGAAGTGCTCTCAACTGGAGTGGCAGGCAACTACAATGGGGCTCTGCAAGTGGTATGGCTTCTTCCCTGCCCTGGAAAAACTACATCTCCATGAAGGGGGGATTGTTATTATTTACTTCATGGAATCCTCAGATGACAGCAGAGTTCCAAGTGCCATCTCCACTCGTCCCAACTCGAGAGAGCTTGTTCGTGAGGTACTGCAAGCAGCACGCTGATGGAACCTGGGCAGTGGTTGACGTTTCCCTCGACAGCTTGCGCCCCAGCCCAGTCCTGAGATGTCGAAGAAGGCCATCCGGTTGCCTGATCCAAGAGTTGCCTAATGGTTACTCGAAGGTGAAGAATCTAGTCCAGTAAAAGTGGATTCCACCCCAGAATGCATCTGTCTGTAACATGTTCAACTTGCTTCTTCTATCGTGCCGCAGGTTACTTGGGTGGAGCACGTCGAAGTGGATGACAGGTCTGTTCACAGCATCTACAAGCCATTGGTCAACTCCGGCCTGGCGTTCGGTGCAAGGAGGTGGGTCAGCACCTTGGACAGGCAATGCGAGCGGCTCGCGAGTGTGATGGCCAGCAACATACCCTCAGGAGACGTCGGTGGTAAGCCAGCCATCTGTTGACATGATCATCGACAAGCTTGAGGTAGATTGAACTCTCTGTTCTTTGCGCAGTGATAACTACACCGGAGGGCAGGAAGAGCATGTTGAAGCTGGCTGAGAGGATGGTGATGAGCTTCTGCGGCGGTGTCAGTGCTTCGACCACACATCAATGGACTACTTTGTCTGGAAGTGGTGCGGAGGACGTGAGGGTTATGACGAGGAAGAGCGTGGATGATCCCGGAAGGCCTCCTGGTATCGTCCTCAACGCCGCCACCTCCTTCTGGCTTCCGGTCCCGCCGAAGAGGGTCTTCGATTTCCTACGTGATGAGAGCTCGCGCAGTGAGGTACTCGAACTTCAGCGTGGTTCTCTTGGAATTGCTGCAGTTGCAGTGAGTTCGTCACTCACATGGTGCTGTTGGTGCAATTGCAGTGGGATATCCTGTCGAATGGGGGTGGCGTTCAAGAGATGGCTCACATCGCCAATGGCCAGGATCATGGGAACTGTGTCTCCTTGCTGCGCGTCAACGTAAGCATCATCTGCATCTTTTGCCGGCCTCTGATCACTGTGGTTGACTCGATGGTGGTTTGCAGAGCACGAACTCGAACCAAAGCAACATGCTGATACTGCAGGAGAGCTGCACCGACGCGACGGGCTCGTACGTGATCTACGCGCCGGTGGACGTCATCGCCATGAACGTGGTGCTCAACGGCGGCGACCCCGACTACGTCGCCCTCCTGCCGTCAGGGTTCGCCATTCTTCCCGACGGGCCATGCGGCAGCGGAGGAAGGGTGGAGGAAGTAGGCTCCGGTGGCTCCCTGTTGACTGTGGCGTTCCAGATCCTGGTCGACTCAGTCCCCACTGCCAAGCTCTCCCTCGGATCGGTCGCGACGGTGAACAGCCTCATTGCTTGCACCGTCGAACGGATCAAGGCTTCAGTTGCAGGCGAAGTGGCTCGCTGAGAATAGCAAGCACGCGGCATGGATAGGTAAGAAAGAACCCAAGCTTACTCATCTACCTCCTCCTCGACCTACTTGGTAATCTGCGACTCGCTACCATGAGCAGGAGGAGAGGAAGTTGGGGGAGGGTGGAGATTAGGACATCATCTGTGGGAAGTCAAGAACGCACCTCACACTAACCTTGGCTCTCGGCCACCGCCGCCGCCATGCAAGGAGGGCTGGTTCGGGTATTGACTTCCCCCCATTTCATGACTACAACGACAGTTCTCTCGCTCTCTCTCTCTCTCTCTCTCTCCTATCGATCCTTTTGTGTTGCTGGCCTTGAAGTCTTCGTTGAAGTGTTCGTTTTGAGCTTTGGTTTAGCTTTGGTGTTCCTTGCTTTCAGAATCTTGTTTGCTTTGGAACCTGCATTGGTGTGAAGGATAGTATTGAAGACATGCTTTGGAACCTGCTACATCTTAGTCCCTACTTGAAGCCATGAGTGTTTTACTCTTTATGATGCAGGATACCATTATACAAAATAGATAAAGCCAGTAGGATTTTTAGTCCAGTATAAAAATATACAAAATTTAAATACCAATCAGTAAAAATATTCCACCATAATTTTTGGCTAAAAGCATGTCATCAACCCTAATGTATTCTTTAGCAAGGACATCACTTGAAAGAATGTAACTTACTGGATACTGTAGCTGCTTTTGACTCCAAGTTAATGAGATGGAAGTCCAAATCATGAGTTCCTACAGTAACGATTGCATTAGGTCAGCAAAGAGAGAGCCCACCAGTAATGCAACAATAAAGTTCCATGCAGCAGTAAAGTTTCGGCCAGAAAATAAATTGGAATGGAGAATATATAGAGGTGCTTCTACCCTTGCAATTTGTGTTGGAAGAATACATTACATTACATTGCAATTTGTATCACTTCTCACAAATACATTTGCTGGAACATGTATCATTTGTACGCAGCTACAGACTGCACCATCTCTAACCCGAGTGATGGGGCAACTATAGCTTCAATCATTTGTATGCAGCATCAGACTGCACCAGCTTTTAACTCGAGTGATGGGGGCAACTGTAGCTTGGATGGTGCTCCCTCTAAAAAACACTCGCACACACGCCTTTCCGATTAAAATCCTGCAAATCTGATCTCAGAAACAACAGCAATATTAGTTTATTCTGCAGAAACACAATTAAAGAAATAATGATGCATTTGACATTTCTAAAATGGCCATACAAAGGCAGAAGGATATGTCTCTTAAGGAAAAATATACATTGAATCACTATTCACAGAATGTGCAAGTATTGTACTGTTATTTGTTATCCTGACAAAAAGCCTGGGGTCATAGAAACTCAATATTTGCTTGGGCATACCTTCTGTGTACAGCATCTCTCATTTTTCTGGGATGATATCAGAGAAAGAAAAATCATGAAATGGCGGACCTGCAACAAATAACTTCCAAATTATCAATGTCATGGGTAGAGAAGGTTGATTTTATTAACCTCATCTAGCAAAAATAGATGAAATTACAGACAGCTCTACTTGTAATGCAGAACTGTGGATAATTCAGTGTTCTCTTTGAGAAAAATACAAGCATGACATTTGCTAGAGTTGTGCCAGAATTCTCTGAGACCACTGTATGTATATTTCACTAAACACTTCATGCATAACCTATGGAACCGATAATGAGACATGATATAGTGCTGGGTAATCATCAATCTAGCAGGAGACAAAAAAGCCTCAACAGTGTTATTTGCTCTCGAGGAGTAGAAAAGTAGCATCTGACAATATCAACTGAGTCGGGCCAAGACCTGTTGGGTTCAATGAATGATGATATCCGCATAATAAAAATTCTTTTAAAAATATCCGACATCCAAAATTCCAGGAGAACACCACATGCTGCCTGGTGGTTGGCACATTTCAACATGCCGCAGGCCAACATAGATGCACTGGTGGCCAATGGAAAAGTGAGGAGAAAATATAAAAGGGGGAGAGGAAAAATAGAAGGGAATCGGGCAGATTCTTCTACTCTGTGGTCTACTGTGGACGCCAATGCCCTAATGCAGCTGCCAATTCCAAATCTTGAAGGCTAATTTGTTTAATTTAAATATTATCAGGTCAACTCAATGACTCAAACAGGTACTGCGGCAGAAGATGCAATTAATTGCAGATGGTTCTTACTTAGTATGATAAATTAATTGGTACTAGTAACAGATCTGTAGCAGAAACACTTGAATCAACAAAAAAGAAGCACCACTTGAAAGATCCAGAATAACTTTAAAGTTTAAACCACAGGTTGCTGATATCTGCTGTCAAAAACTTTAATCGTTGTTACATATATGCATGAGAGACCTTTGACAGGCTCAGAAATGATAGGTAAGATATCATCATATGAACAATAGATCCCACAATTTTTCTCAAGATTAAAGAGGGCTCACAGGCTCTCATATAGCAACTATTTAACAAAAAGAAATGTATGGATACAAAAAAAAAGCATGATTGTTAAAGTGGAGAAGCACCTAAAATGTTTTTCTGATTTCACCCTTATATTAAGTAGGTTAACCTGCATTACAGGTTCACATATAGGGAAACAAAATGCCAGATGTTAGGATAGATAACTGCTTTTGATAGGACAGTATTAAATGGTTGCTTCGGTATATTGGAAAAGGAATGTCATTTGAGATGCTTCAGACATTACAAAACTAACGGGAGGAGGCAGTTAAAAGATGAGTGCCGAATATAAAAGACCAAAGAAGACTATGGCTTTCTGTTAATGCAGAATGTGGCACTTGATAGAGCTAAATGACAAAAATGGTGATAATAATGTAACCAACTCCCTAATAGTATGAAGTTAGTCAACAGAAGCTTGCCCGTATCATTGTTAAAGCATGTCAATTCGGAACTACTATTCACATTAACAACTGCAGATTACTCATATTGATAATCACAATCAGTTAGAAGCCTGCATGGTCTGAATACACTGAAATTGACCTTCTGGAAGGGTTTATAGGTATAGTTATCCAGGTGCTGGACAGCTTGTTAAATAATTTTTTTGTTTATAAACTCTGACTATGTTGCTATGTTCTAATTTGGCCCACACAACCCTGGAACCTTTTTTTATTACCTTAAATTTAACAATCCAACAACACCCTTGGGACAAAGGCCAAGCCAGCTCATTAGACAGGCTGCATCCTTTTTTGTGAGTTGAATAAACTTATCTCCCTCATCCTACAAATTTGGCATTCGTACATGCTTCACAAATCCAGAGTTGTCAAAGTTGAACTCTACATAAGAGCTTGAACAGAGATTTAGTCAAAGCCAACAAAAGATACATATATGTGTAAGAAAATTCTGTATGCACAAGAAACCACATCTAGAAGCAGAATAAACTGCAGATGTAAGTACATGAAAGCTCAAATCACTAACCCTCTTGTTCGCTAAGAATGTAAAATGGAACATGAGCAATCATCTTGGATCCTCCCTCACTCCAATTGATAATGCCAGGAACTTTGGGCTTCTCTGTTGAAGGGCCCAAGATAGACAAACATATTGCTGGTTCACTCATCAACCCCAGATAGTCACAAGCACGTCTCCAAACCCTCCTGTCTATATTTCGAGAGCGTGCTACCTAACAAGTAATAGAAACAAAAGTTTGTTAGCAATCTGACCATATAGTGGAGTAAACAAAAAATCTTATAAGCATTCTGCAGTTTTATAAAAAGTCCAGCTTATTATTACATACAAACCTTAGCTAAAGATACTCGAGCCCTTGGAAGTAACTCATTATGGCACGTTGCTAACTTTGCAATGGCTGTCACCACAAAGCAGAGAAGCCTAGCTTGAGAAGATTTTCTAAAAGCCACATTGTTTGGCTCTATATCTGATTCCTGGCTCAAGCCCAAACGACTGCCCCAGAGAAGAAAGAAATGCATCAAAATTTACTCTTTACATTGCAGTGTTTTAGAAAGATTACTTTTGGCTATGTCAAGACAGACCTAGATAAAAGATTCTCATATAAAAGCAATTCTAAGTTTTCAAAAAGTTCTCGAGCCACATCTTTGTAAGCTACTCCTCCAGCTCCGTGCTCCCCGATAGCCCAACATAAATGCAATGCCAACTCTGTCTGATTGAACCAATCAAAAAAAGTAAGAAGTGCTTGGTTTATTTAAATAACTTCAACCTGAAAGGTGTTGATAGATTAAACGAAGAAAGGAATAGGATAATCACTTATCATAAGGTCGAAGTATCTCTAAAGTAATGGAACTATATTTGACATTCTATGAAGTATGTTCTTGCCTTCGCAGGATTGTCATAAGCTTCTCCTAGTCTGTCAGTGATAGGCTTCTGCAAGTGCATTAGAAGTGGACCATAAAAAGTAGTTGCATAATTAGTTCACATGAATGAAAAATGTCAATAATTAGTTCTAATGAATGACAAATGTCAAGTAACAAATAAAATGAAATTCAGTAACTTCTGGTATGCATACTAAGTATGTTATTGCCAGTTGGCATATCTTTATGCCTCGAGGTTGCAGAAACTGCCGCAGCAATGTAAATACAATTTTCAAAAGGATAGACAACTTTAATATCATAGAGATCTTAATAAGATTCTTCCTTCTCAGAGTGTTACAACTTCCAAGTAATTACATGCTACAGAATTATGGGCCCTCAATAGGAACAAAAACCTAAAGCATACAGAACATATGCCATATGTAAGGAGCTATGCTAGAATTGCACAAGTAAACAAATATATGAAAGCAAGCTTCGACTTGTCAATGAAGATGGGCTGCAGTTGTACCTTCAGAAGTGCAATAAATTTAGGACATTGTTGAAATGCAGCTAGCATGAAATCTGAGAGCCTCTTCTGAACCTACAAAAAGAAAAGGCACTGCTGATTGAGGAAAAAAAAAAGACGAAAGCTATTTCATTCTGTTTTAAAACATATTTTCTAACCATGAAAACTAACTGGAAACAAAGGAATGACTTACCATTGCTGATTCAGCAAATGATATGCATCAAATTAACTATGAAATCCATGTTAGCTAATTTATTTAATTAGCAGAATCAAATGATGTATTAGGACTACCAAGACAAACTTCAAGTGGGGAATCATATTTGTATATGATAGTTGCAGCTAGAACAAAAAGCAAATCATTAGTATAATGACCATATCCCACTGAAGAAGGTAAACATATAAAAGAACATAAAACTAAATTTACAGACATTAAACTAAATAGAGAAATCTGTGAATTCTTGATTATTTAGTTTCACATTATTCGGCTAATGCTTTTAATATAGTAAAGGATGGCTTAGTGCATGTTGTGGGGGAGTTACAATTTTGATTCTAAGACTATTTCTATCAGTAGTGAGATAATAAAACATTTCAATTCAATTCATTGCTATTCACCTACCTCATGAGAGAAAACCTTGTCAGGGAATGTTGTAGCATACCTCGACATAACCAGTGGAATTAATGCACACAGCAATGCTGCAACATGATATGCAAAAACAAATGTCATGTCCACTAAAGAAAAAGCAACATAAAAAAGAAAAGACTACATGCAGATATATGATTCAGCCAAGGTGAAAAACATACAATCATTAACATCACGCAAAGCGATTGAAAAATACAGAGCTAAGAACTGAGGTGTCATATGAAGCACTTGTTTTAGCCTTTCAGATTGTGTATTATTTATAGCAGCCTGTAACATTGCTGTCATAGCAGGAGATGTCCAGGGGCGTTCCTGAAATGCAAAATGTGATTACATGTAAGGTTTGATCAAACATTTATACAAAATAGGCAAATCAACACGAGATCATGGAGAAAAGGGATAACTCAAGAAATATCCAAGCACCTTGTCATGAAAGATCTTTATAGATGATCAGAAAATGATGAAAAAAACTGAGCACTTGTCACTAAAAGATCTAATAGCAGCTAATGTAAAACAGAATATTGTCACTTATGGTTGGGTAGATCCAGCATGATTATATTCTCAATTTATGCACAACTACATCAATGCTCATCAAATCATGAGGACTCCTTAGAAGTTGGCAGTCCATAGCTCATAATACCGAGGCCTGAAACAGCAAAACATGTTCGGCTAACCAGTTCATAGATCTAATCAAAGAAGAACAATGTTCCATAATATTGAGGCCTGTCTATTCATAAGAAAACATGAAAATGATCCTTCTGCTACTTATTTCTGAAGGCGGCACATTACATGCAAGAAACCATTCAGTAACATTTGTGGATTAGACAATAAACATAATACAATGTAACTAATGATATCATATAACTAACTGATGATTCTAGTTCCTCTCTGCAAGTTACAAGGCCATGGATCTACCAGCCCAAATCGTGAGAATTGGTACCGAAGCACTAGGTTCAGCCGATGGGTATTAGAGGAACTATGGGTCACGTTGTCATCCAACATCAGGATTACCTTGTACATATCAAGATGCTTCAGACCTATGATAATCTTAAAGGGGGAATATCAGACCTTGGTGAGTATATCAGGCCTTCGAGTGAGAGAGATTGTGATGCCACATAAGTCCATATTGCAGATAAACGATGGATTCTAGTATATAAAGCTAGATTGCTACTACTTGTAAATCGAAATTGCATTTCCAGCTCTAACCAGTTTCATAAATAAGTAAACCTGTCAAGCCGAATCATAATAGTTTATATGATAAGTAAAAAATATTGAACAAATAAATCAAGATGGCAGAACTTTATTGAATATGGCTTAAACTAAAGTAATCATAAGCTGCAACCTTAAAATAATCATAAACTGCTCAGATTCTAATAATCTGATAGAATAGCTATCTGAAGAACCTAAAATAAGCATATAGCCACTACCCATTTTTTTAAGATTGAAAAGAAACCATGTATGATAACTTAAAGAGATCCCATGTTAAATTTTCTATTGCAAGTTAGATGAAAACTTACAGTGATCCCATCATTTTCATCCTTAAGAATGTCAAGGAACACCGGATCAGAAACATCAATGTCGTTATTATCATCAGATCCAGAGTCCCCACCTCGATCTTCTATGGCAGATCCAGTATAAGCTTCATCCATCAGTGCAAGTAGCATCTGCCATACAATTCAAGAAACGGAAATCATAACCATCCTCATCGCCCAGATAAGTATTTTATTCTCTGAAGCACAAGGTTGTAAGTTAACAAGTTGAAAATATATAAATATGACCTCAGGTGCTGCACTCTTCTGTATTGAAGCTATGCTGCTGCCTATCAGAGACCCAGAACTCTTTTCCACTTTTTCCAAAGATGCCACTAGTACTGATTAAAAGAAACATAAAAGCATAGAACATTTCAGAGTTCTCAACCTTCCACTGGATGCTACATGGGAGATGCAAATCTCTGCCACAAATCATAGAACAATGAAACTGTGCTTTCCAAGCAAAAATATGGAGGCAAAGATATTACAACTCAAAGTTGAACATGGTCTAACTACAGGATTCAATTTTGGCACTGATGGTGAAAGAAGGAAGAAGAAGAAGAAGAAGGAATAAGGAAGAAAGGAGAAGAAGAAAGAAGAAAGGAGGAGATGAAGGAGGAAGAGACGATGTACCATTTGGGCAGTTTCCAATTCCTAAGTCATAATTACCGTATACAGCCAACTTGTAAGGTATGAACAACAAAAGAAAAATTGAACTCTTTCATCATACACATTGATTGAAATTGCTTCCCCAAAGAATTGTATGAGCATAAGCTTGAGCTTATTGTAAGGGTTGGATTCCAAGAAAGTACAAAATCATAAGCTTGACATTTAACACCTACAACTTCACATCTAAATAAAAATATAGCTGCAATTCTTGTGAGCCGAATAAATTGTTCGGTAGATATTCTCATGTATCAAGAAATTTACTTAAAAGCGAATATGCATTTTACAACGAATTTGAAGAGTAAAATATGGACATATATTAAGCCCTTAGGGTATGAACCCAGTATATTATCATAAACTGTTAATTAGCACTTCATAAACTCACATTTCATAAGAAGATCTCATGTGGCTTGCAAGGTAAAACAAGAAATTTCTAGCTAAAACAGAATTCAGACCTACACTTACGGTATATGGGCACACACTCCTTTGATAAAAGAGCAATCATCCGGCAAACGGTCACATCTTTTGAGAAGCTACATTTCAAAGCTGAAAGTTTTCTGACTTGTATAAAGTTTTAAATTGTAACAAGGTGATTTGACCCTAACAACCATGCTACACTTTACATTCATAACATCGATCAAAACCCATGTGTTAAAATTTCCACTTCCAGTGTGTACTTTGTGCTTCTTGTAAAAGGAGTTTTGATATGAACGTTATAATGCTGGCCAAGGTTCACAACAACACGTCATCATCAAAATATTTCTTGTTATACGTGGGAAACCTCCCTTTCTTCTTCACCATCACCACCTTTTCCGACAACCATCCTTCATCCTCCTTTCCATCTCAACCAAGATTGTTGTTGCCCCTTAACTATCCACCACTCTCTAGCTGTCCCATACCCCACCAGTTAATTTAGTTTTGCTTGCCTGCCTATCTCATACTGCCCAAGCCCTCATCCGACTAACTAACCACTCTGCATCTCTCCCATCATCCTACCAGTAAGTATCAATACTCCATTGCCCACCACCACCAGATTCTCACATCCAAGCAGCAGCCCACAAACTGTAGGTGAACTAGTTAAAATGCAAATTATTCCTTAAACTTCTTCTACACATGCATGGACCATCTTAAGAAATCTTTCCTAAACTATCTTCTGTTAGCGAATAATTTACCATGATAGCAATAATTTCTTACCAACTTTCTTTGGCATATAATTTAACTAATCTCAAAGTCCTTTTCATCCATGCTAACCTTTTTGGTTCCCATTTTTTATTATAAAACAACATAGAAATTCACAAACTATGCTGGCTCTGTAGATGTCTAATAAAATTTAATTTCAACCAAATGGATTTTCCACTAGTGTATAACACAGAATATACACCTCCTTCCATTCCAATTCTGTTAGCAACTACGAAGCAATATGCATCTCCCAAATTCTCTATTCCAATCTGATTCTATCAGCTACTATGAAACAGTGATACGTGAAACTGCTTGCCAGATCCATAACAGATACCAACACCAAAAGTATGTTTGAATTAGAAATATTGAATACTTTATCATATTTGAGAGATACTTCATATATAGTTCATGACTTAATTTATTTTCCTTGAATGTTCATCATTTGACTATGACTTTCTTAAATGTTGATTGACTATGACAAGATGGATATATAAATACTAACATATTAAAATATTTGCTTTGTTTTGAGATTGCAATTAATGGAATAAAAAACAATTTTACTTTATTGTCACAAGTTCATGGTAAATTCTTTAATTTCTTAAAGTTACATGTTACTAGCGACAATTTCTTTCATGATAATAAGTAACAGGTAATAGTGAATTACTTATCATTTTATCATGATCTATAAGTGTATAATCTAACAATTTAAATGTCAAAATTTGTCACGTAGAATATTATATATTTTGAAAGATTTGTGTTGTACCTATGCAGTTCGTGTCCTGTTCCCCATGGTTCGAATCATGTCCTGTTTCTTATAATTCGATGCTTCAGTGTACCCTTAGCATGTCAAATTGATATTTTCACATGTCAAATTGTCAACTATCCTTTTGGTTCCAGTTTCATTTTAGTAAAGTTGCCTCACTACTATTTTTCTTATTCCTTAATAATCTTCATTAAGTTTATTAGATCTAATGGATACCTTTTCCATCAAATCTAATGGATACCTCTTCCTTCAACCACAAAGTTAAACATGTAGAGACATATGTGTTTTTTAGATCAACAAAAATCATGTACAAGTCTCTTCTTTTTTAGAACTCCATCGAACTGGCTCTTAGTAAACATGTTTCATATATAAGTCTTTCTACAATCAATCCCTCCTAAGTTCGTGATAGCCTCATAGCAAAGTTCCTTTCCTCCACTGATCTAACATTCATAGGTTCAGTATCATCTCTGTATATATATTGCATATCTTTTTCTTGACCAGTTCCAAGGGATTTTGCTAAAAAACAACAAACAAACATTCCTAAAAGGGAACAGATATTGCACATCAGAGAATCAACTCATAGAGGGTTGCAACGGTAGCTAATAGCTGACATAAAGCATTGTTAGGAAAAAGATAAACATAAGGAATAACTAGAAAGAAGCACAATTTAGTATGCAAACAGTAATTAAAAACAAATCATTAAGAAAACACATATTAATTATTATCACCCTTCACCCCCTTGAAATATACAGTTATAGGTTCACTGCAATAAGCTTTGGAAAGGTTCTCTGTCTAAACTTATAAATGAATCACACTACTCAACAAAGAACAATGAAGAAAAGCTAAACTCACTTGGCAAATCCATAAGTGAATGGAAAAGTGGAAGAAACGATCCAATTGACATCATTGCTGGAAAAAGCATCATAAATAATTTTTCCAATCTGAAAAATAAACACAGATACACGTCAGCTATCCATCACAAGGGAACTTTATGCAAACATGATGTGTTACTAGCAATGTCTCAAATATGTCATGTTATAGAGACTACTTGCATGTGGACTGGACAATTTTGCATGGTCCGCTTCAAAAATGGGATGTAACCTACACACATACAAACTGGGTGATAAGCTTACCACCTTATTTTTGGAACACCACTCAAATTTAAACCAGTCCAATCAATTTCCCCACCCTTTTTCAGATATTCTCCCAGATTCACTTCCCAAACTCACAATCTGCTTCAAGTCTTAGCATATTGAGGATCAAACTCAAGAAAGGAAGGGTATTTATCTTAAAATCAAGGTAAATCTGAAACTAAAGCTAGCGTTTTTTTATCATTTTTTCTCGATTAAAGCTTTGTCCTTGGGATAGTTATTTTAAGATCATAGTTTTTGCACCTCATTCCAAGCTGGATCTATGCAAATATTGTAGATCTAGATCAATGCTGGAGAAGCTTGAATCTGACCAAGATCCCTTCGGATCTGGCCGAGATCCTTGCAGATCTAGCCTAATTTTGGTACATATGGCCTTCATTTGCAAGATTTAGCCTTATCTTTGTGAATCTAAGTTAGATTCATATGAATCTAGCCTAGATCTACATATATCTATCATAAATTTACGTGGATCCGGCCTAGATTTGTGTGAATCAAACTTAAATATGCACATATCTGCCTAAATCTAAGCATCTAGATTCAATCCATGCAGATCTGACTTTAATTTTTAACATTAAACGTAATTTTATAATTATGCCTCTAAATGAGATTGATATTTTTGTAGAAAATGAAACCAAAGCAACAAAGTATCTATATGGTTTGGCAGCACCTCCATTCCCCTTACATAAATGCCAAATCTACTGTGATTAAGTTAGAGTGAATTTTCTGGCATGCTCATCCACAACAGTACCACAAGTGATAAGATGAACTTTCATGACAAAGTTGGAAGTCCAAAAAACATAATACAGAAAAAAAAGTAGAATGGAAGGACATGGATAAGCTAACATCTGAGATAAGTAGTAAGGCCATGAGAACGCTGTCCACGATGAATGATTCCAAGCTTGCAACTGAGATTTGTGCATTCTTGGAGTATTAGCACATGCATGAGCATGCTATGAGACATTTACCCATGAATTTCAAGTATAAGTATGGCAACCACAGTGATAATGGGTGGTGTCAGACAGTTCAGCCTCTCTTCCACTATGATGCAGTTGATGACAGCAACACACAGGGTTAGGGAGGAGTGCTTCAGTAAGCTAGCTTAGCAGTGCACATGAGCTAAGCAGGACAACCAGAATGAGACAATCCCGATCAAATGGCATACAGGATTTCCTTAGTTCATGCAGCATGAGACCAGCTCCTCATATTGTCATCCTAGATTTCATGACTTTCCAACCATGGATTACAAAGCAAAACAATAAAAAGGATGCCTATCCTAAAGAGAAGAAAAGGATATAAGAAAAACAATTGCAAACTGGTTCAGTTTTAAGATTGTAACTACATCCATATTAAGACACCTCAAGGCCATTATTACTAAACCATGATGTCCACCATTTAGAAGCATGGTCCTGGAGTTAGCCTCCAACTCCATACAAGATTACCATTAGATACCTTGATGAGGTGGTCGTGGAGATTGGAGACTGGATTAAAGTGTTTAAGTAACAAGGCCTGTACAGTATGACACACGTGTGATTGCTAGTTTGGCCCTACCAAGATGAGTATCAATTAAGTTATGTTGACTGTTGAGAGCCTCAAGACACCTCCCATGGACTTATTAGCAAATCAGACGAACTGTCGTCAACTGATACAAGGTGTATTGACACATGCTAGGTTCAAATATACTGATACCAAATGATCCACCCAAAGATTCTGATACCAATACCAGATTGAAACTTAAAACCTTGATTTTTACCAGGACATATGCAAAGTGTATATTTTCATGGTTTTTTAAATGGTTGACACTGCATATGCTATTTTTATTCATAGTGCAACAACTTAAAAATTACAAAAGAAATAGTAACTATTAAGATTTACAAATCAAACCATTATAATAAGCAAACAAAAATCTATACCTCTCACCATTCCATGCAATCAACTTTAACAATAAAGGAAAGAACTGCAAACAAAAACAAAATAGAAAAGTCAATGTCATGTAGCCATATAAAAATTATCATATGAAGATTATGTGCAGTAAGTATTTAGAGTCTTAGACAGTTATCGTACTCATTATTCAAGGTGTTGTGGAGTAAAAAAATAATCAAGCACCATGGACAAGCTGATAGTTCAAACCTTTAACATCATGAACTAGTCTTTGACCCATATTGAACAGGACAAGAAGTGCTAAGTCCTATTTGGTCTCTGAGAGGACCAAATGCCCACCTCAATTCCACATAAAATGTTGGAACTCTCCAATGACCCAGTACAGCCAGTTGAACAGCAACAGCAAGAGAAAATTGTAGCATATTTTATGGGCTTCTTAGTGCAACTCTATTTTAGCTTAATATCTTTGTAAGGACAATACTAAACTCCAAATAAGACTTGTTCAGGACTTAGATTATTGCTTTGTTTTGTCCCTCTCTAGAATATCCAGCAATTAATATCCTTTATATTTTTCTTTCAATCCTCTCTTGCAGGCTTCTTCTCTTAATCAAATTAAAAAAGAACCAGTTAGGGGTTGCAATCCTTCACAAGGTCACTATGATTTTACTTCCACTTACATAGCATTCTACAAGAATTATATAAAATCTGCCAATGAGAGGAATTGTAAACATTTAGAATTATACTTGGAATTGTTTAAAAGATCAAACTACAAGCATATTTTTCCAATTTCAATAACTCAATCATTGTCCAAGAAAATTAAATCAACGTAACACTTATTAGCTTCAATTAAATGATGATACCTGCGGAAGTAGGGTTGGAAAAGAACTCAGGAGCTTTGCTTTGTTCAGATTGAGAAAATCCAGGGTAGCTTTTGCAATGACAGGATCAGCAAACTCCCTAAAAACAACAGTGACAGTAAATAAAGTTTCCATGAATATATTATTTAGCTACTTTCTACTTAACATTGTATATTCAACAGGAAAAACCTTCAATAAAACCTAACAGCAAATTCATGGCCCTCACAATATTAATGATATCTCTAGATGGCACAAATTGGTTCATTAGGACAGCTTTGTTCTTTTCTCATGCATGGCAATGTAAAGGGAAATCACCAATTTCAGGAACTATGTGCTAGTTCAAGGAATCAAACTCAAATCTGAAAAAGCACCAAACAACCTTATATCTACAATTGAATTGATTTTTCCACTCATAAATGTCAATCCTTTTAGTTAAGAGACCTTGATTTATGAAAGTGCAATTAGCAAACTCATTATCATTAGCATCACATCCCTAATTTGTCTTAGTATAAACTCAATTTTTGTAGCACAACTAATATCTCATGAAAAAATGACAGTTACAAAATGCAACAGCAAGGACTAAAAAGGAGATATATAACACAGAGTATATCATGTTAGATAATTACAACACGGATTTAGTAGGTAAAGACCATGTTCAATAAAGCCCAATTGCAGGATGAGCGATGTAGCAAAAGCCCAAACAAATAGGATTTACGGTGTTTCTCTCACTGACGGTTTGACTTTAGATTTCAATATTCTCAAAGATGCATTATAAAACACAGCAACATGAGAAGTCTGAAACCTATTTGGCCCAAGCCCTTAATCTATAGCCAATGACCCGAACTATAATCTGGGGCCCTAGCCGCACCCAATCCGAGGCCATCAGATTGGTGTATTCACCATACCTTCTCCCATGTTAAGGAGCTGATGATCATACATTTAGCAAAACCAAAAGCACAGAAAAGAAGATAGATGCAATCATTGAAGAAGAAATATACACTTTTTGGATTCTCTCACCTGACATGATGTGGTGCTCAAGAAGGCAACTGATAACTATATAAGAAATTAACAAAGAAAATTTGAAAGAGAATTTTGTAAAGGCTGGTGGAATTAAATGGCACATTGCATATATATTTGAGATGACCACGAGAGATTGGCAGCTCTATGGGAGTTCCCTTGAGAGATGAGAGAAACTGAAATGAAAGGGAAACCTTCCACAAGGTGAAGGGAAAATGCTGACGCAAAGGTAACAAATCTGACAAAAGCTAACTAAAATAAAGATGTGGATCACTAAAAAACATGAAGAGGAGGTTGCCAATAATTTTGAATTAGAGTCGAGAAAGAGGACAAATGCATTGAGAAAAAATATAAAAATTATATAAAGCTATGTAAAAAGGATTATGATTTATGCACGGAGTGATCTCCTTGAGGTTCGATTAAGGTTAGACCGAAACGTGACTGAGATGGTATGAGAACCAACCTAGTGTCAAACATGATGAGATTTCCAAGGATGAAAGGACTACTATTGGGACTATAGGGCACATCACAGCATGGAGCCACCAACCACTATTGGGTTACGCTGCACATGCACGGTTTGATTCTATGGTGTCCTTGATGCCTAGCCCTTTAGTCGCAGAGGTTATAATACCTTGATTTATACTCTCATCTCAAGTGAGAGAAAATTTGAATGGAATTATAGGTTAAATAGATCAACTACTAACAACTTGGGCTTCATCATCTTGGACTAGTGATTTAGATTCATCTTTCAATAAGTTAATGAATCAATTATCCTACCAAGCTGGGTCTTAACATGAACGATGGCTAGTTAGAGCTCAACTTGAAGCCATTCGACATGCACAAATACCATATGAACCATGTTAGGCTAGGTGAAATTGCCCGACACCTTAAGCTAGGTGATTCAAATAAGTCATTAACCTAATCTCCGCCTAAATCTCATTCAAATAAGTCATTAAATCCAAGAGAAGCCCACGATTGTAAATACACAAACCAAGCTTGGCCATAATTGGCTTGCGTCTTGTTTCACGTTGGGTCAGCCTGTCCAAGTTGCAACCCTAGTATAGAACCCAAAGGCGTCACCTCCTCTCATCACATTTAAAATTTATAAAAACAAGGTTGAGTGCATGGCTAGCTAAAACTCATATGTTCCATAGGGATGACATGAGAGTTTAGATACTCATGATTGAGAAAGGTTCACCAAATATTCACTAGAGAAAATCATCAACTTGACAACAATCATTTTAATTTGGCAACAAGTTTTCATCTAAGGCAAACCTGGCATAAGTGAGGTTGCTCGAAAAACTAATGTGGAACAAAATAATTTAGCTCTTTGGCATATATTCATTGAGATATGGAACTGTTCAACTTTAACAAGAATATTTCAAGTACCAAACAAACCCGGAAGGATAGAATGATATTGTCTCAAAGAATCGAGGAAAGAAAAATGTTCAATTAGGTTAGCTATCATAGAAATAAATATTAAATCCCTAACATAAACCTAGATATTTTAAAAGATATATTTTCTCATAACGGCTTTTAACATGACATTTATTTGTGTTCATTTTTTCTACAGAGACTATCCAAAATGCTGACACCAAAATAGCCAAAATTCATGACAACTGAAAATGATAAATATGAATGTAGATGAACCAAGCTAGTTCTAGCCGATGTAAAATTGATATCAGGAGTCCAGGACAGCAATGGCTTTAGACAAACAAGTACTAAAAGGATGTTATTATAGAGGGGCAATCCCTTGATTTAAAGAAAAATGACAAAAACATTCGTGGTGTCCTTACTGCAGCTAAGTACTTGCCTGCAAGAAAAATGAAGATTTTTAGCACCTAGTTGTCAAAACTATTCCCATATGCAAAATATGTCCCTTTCATAAATCAGGACATGATTCCATCACAAGGATAACCGATCCAACCAGAGGCAACAGAAGGTGGCAATTCAAACTGAACTCTGAAACGATTGATGTTCTCCTCCAAGATAACCATGCCAACAATAGGCTGTAACGTGCATACCACATAAATAAAGCCAGTCTTTGAGCAAGAAGTACAAACTCATGCATCTACATAGTAAGAACGGAAGGCTACTTGCATAGAAAAAGCCAAGACAGAAATATGTAAGATTGATTTAGAATACAACAACTCTTATGCACAAATTTGAAGCTAGGAGCCAAATCAGAAATGTGACTTAGAATCAAATGACAATCAACATTATGCAAATATTGACTACATAAGGTATATACAATGGCATTGCAAGATAACAGACATTTATCAAGTTCTGATCACAATCAAATATGCATGCAAGACAGCAGATATATGGAAAGAGAAGTTTTACCTACCAAAGCATGAAGAAAACTGTTACCTACTTAAGCATGAGCGGAAGAAGGCCTTTAGACTAGGATCAGCATCATGTAAAACCACTTCTCCAAAATCAAGAAAAAATTGAAGAATGGTCTGCCTTGGCAAAAATACAAGAAATATATATCATGTCATCATTCCAAACCAGATGCAAAAAATAAGAAAAGTTTGCAACATTGCAAAGTAAGCAGTCTAGTTTAAAAACCATGAAATTGTTTGATGATCAAAAGATCTTCCATAATCAGAATCCTAAACAATATCCTAAGAAACAAGGACACTAAACTTGAAGGTGCTGGCTAGCTTCGCCGGTAAAGACGTAGTTGATCACCACAAGTACAAGAAGTACAAGGCAACTTGATAAGGAATAAGACCCTAGGCAACTGAAACTTGTCTGGCATGGGTAGGCTATGCAAGTATAAAAAACAAACAATCTATTCAAACCTACGATCGAACTATCAATGCAAAAAACAAATTATTTTGTGACACTGATGTCAACAAGAACAAACATACCCAAGGGTCAACTTTTGTAAAAAAGGAAAAAAATTTCACCGCAATCTTGGAGGAAAAAAGGACTTCAAGAAACCCATCTTCAACCAAAAAATGATGAATTTGTTCATCGATATCTAAAAACCTAGTATGTCGAAGAAAGGACATGCAATTTACCGAATCTTGGACAGAAAAAAACTTCAAGAAACCCATCTACAACCAAGAACAGACGAATTTGTTCATCGTCATCTAAACACCTAGTGTCTAACTTTCGAAAGAAACTTTAACACCGAAATCCACCAAGAACCTAAAAACATCAAATAACCAGCGTTTCAGATGTCCCCAAAATAGAACTAAGATGGCCAAGCCAACACCCACCAGCAAAAGAACCCCATTGGATGTCTGTGACTGCGGCAGAGCCGAAACGCATCGTTGGAAGAGCTTGTTGATTTGTGGGTACGCCCGCGCCACCAGCTCCTCCGATCCCCCTTCTCTGGCGATATCGTAGATCTTCTTGACCTGCAAGAAACCAAACGAAAAGAATATAACGAATAAAGAAGCACAATGATTCCACGGGAAATTCTTGAGGACGCCGAATCAAAAGGGAGAAGGAAGGCGCCATGGAGACAGACGGATTGGAGGATGTAGGGGTCGGACGCCGGGTCGCTGGCGGAGGATGAATCTCTGGCGTTGGAGGAGAGCGATCGGAGATGGAAGTCCCAGTCCTTCTCACGATCGACCCTCGAGGAATCGGCAGTCGTCGTCGTCGCCATCGCTCGCTCGCTCGCTCGCTCTCTCTCTCTTTCTCTCTCTCCTCCTAGTTTCGGAAACGAGCCGTTTTATACGGCTTAACATCATATATACCGTAATAATAATTGTCTTTAATTAATGGTGAGATGAACATCATATTTCCGATTTTCCTAAAAAAAATCTTTTTTTGTCATTTTTTCTGAAGATATCTTTGGTTTTTAATTTTTAATTTGATGTCTTTTTTTTCTTCTAGTATCTTAAATAGATGATATAATTCGAACGATGAACATCACAATGGGATGGAGACAATACGATAAGATAAAAATAATAGATCACAAGGAGGCATATTTAAGGTTGTAAAGTTTTAATAAAAGCTAATAAAAAATATGAGCATTTTTTTTTTTGAAAAATCGCTCTTAATTCGTTTAATTATGAGGGAAAAAAAACAGTTATACTGTTGATTCAATGTGCATTGGTAAAGCACTAGCAAATTGAAATTTTAGATTCTAAAAGGTTTTATCTATTCTCTCTAAAGATGTTTTGTACTAGTTTAATCTATTTATCCCATTAATCATAAATAAAAATTAACATAAATCAGTAATACCGTATCTATCGATATTTCGAGGTTGACTCGGTACGGTACTAGCATACCGAGCGGTACACCATGATATATATCGAACGGTAAATCAGGATTTATTGAATGATTTCCTCTTACTGTAGTACTGTTACAGTGTAACACTATAGTACTATAACACGGTCCATCTGGTAGTGGACGATCAACGAACCAATATACCGTCGGATCGATATGTACCGTCCATACCGGACGATACCATTCAAAATTACATAACATAAATACTATATACAAGAAAAAAAAAGAAAGAAAGAGGCTATTTGAATTTTCTCAGCTTTATTGTAAAATAGAATTGGTTTTATTTGGTTCTATTTCAGTCCGATTATCGATTAGGTTCGTTATTTCGTTTAAAATTTTCAACAATACCAACAATACATATTTAGATTTTGATAAAGAAATTAATAAAATATAAAATGACGAAACATATAAGGATAAAACATCTTAAGAACTTAGAGGCACATAATCATCGCAATAAGGTCTGATTGATCAAGATTTTTATTCCGATACTTAATTGGTATTATTCCTCTACTTATGAAACCAACTATTTCAATTTCAAGATTGCTAATTCTAGGTTTTTAAAATTAGAAAAAAAAAATGAACCAACTATTTCGATTCAAAATGCCCATGTTTATTTTGTTTTATTTTTTTAAAAAATAAAATATAAAACATTTTATATTTTAATTTATAAAAAAATTAAAAATAATTTCAAACCACGAGATTAATGGTTCGAAACTTTTATTTTTATTTAAAATATTAAATAAATAAAAATACTTTTATTTTTATTTATTTAATACTAATTCTTAATTAATATTCCTTATATAATAAACTAAATATTAAATAGTAGATTCGAAACGATATATATATTTTGAAGAGGATAAAGACGATAATGAATTAATTGATATATATATTTTAGTTTTAATAATATTATTTATTTTTAGAATTTAATTGTTAGATACTTTATACGTTTTTTTATTTATGTAGGATTCACAAGTAAAGAAATCGAAAAAATGATATTAATAAAAATTATTAATTTATATATTTATTTGGATATATTTATATTTATTTAGTTATAATTATGTTTGGATATACTATAATTAAAGATATTTACGAACCCAATAAGTTAGCGTCACAACGTTACGCGAGGCGTTGGAGCAAATCTGGATCGTTGGATCTTTGCATCCAACGGTAAAACGCGGTAAAGATCACCATCAGGTTCTTAAGTAATTTTCTCAACAAGACAAGGAAAATATCGACTTTCCACTCCCCACCACGCGCCTTCAAGGAACCTCCACTTTCTGTTGGTTTGCATCGTCATCCGCCCGCTCGATCCTCCACGCCTCCGCTACCGCCTTCGGTGAGCACGGCCTTCCTTCCATAGTCTCCCGCCTCGTGACGGAGCTCTTCGGACGCGGGTTTGGCGACACCGGCGAGATACGCAGCCTGTAAGTCATGTCGTTGTTCTTCCCATTTTAACCTCCGATTATGGACGGCCGTGATGGATCTTTCTTTAAACTATTAATATTTTACCGTTGTCGTCGAGCCCAGAGTACTTTTCTGGTCTCAGTGAAAAGGGCGAAGAAGAAGTCGCAAGCGTTCGCATCGACCTGCGACCTAAAACGCCGCTCCTTATAGAGGGCGACGGGGATACATTGAAGATCCCATCTCCAGCTAAGGGAGAGCTTCCCTCTCTCTCTTCGTTTCGCGTGACCCTTTTCTCATTCGGCGTATTGACTCTCGGTTTCTCTTCGTCCGCCGGGTGATCTTGTCGCTCATCGAACAGATCTGGAGGTACCCTAAACGAATTTTCTTGAATTCTAATTTTCTATGGCGTTTTATTGTTTTTGGATCGAGATATCTTATCTTCGAACTCGATCGATTTATGCGTTCCATTTGTCACCGATGAAGCAGTGATCAGTAGTGTGACGCCTAGGGTTTGATTGAGGGTAACCGTTGGTAGTTTGGACGCTTCCTGAATTGTTTCTTGGGTTTCGTAACGAAATGTTTATTTGATTCACCCAGGTCTTGAGCTGTTAAATACGATGAGCTCCGGAAGGAATAAAGGGATCTTCGATGGGTTGCCAATTCCTGCTGATAAAGCTGTAAGTTAACGGATGATGAGTACGAGTCGTTCTCCTTGTTCGTATGCTTATGTGCGATTCTTTTACTTTGCTTATTTGTGGTTTTGTAACGAGAAGGAAACAAGAATGTGATAGTATAAGATAAACTGTTGGTTCTTGAAATTGATGAGATGACTACTATGTTGAATTAGGCTTGTAGCCATTTGCAAAGAAAGCGGCAGTCTAGTCTTCCTAATTGATGAAATGATCGATTCCAGTTCTGCTTGTCCATCATCCGTGGTGATGCATGTTGAGAAGCTCTATAACTTTCTTTTCTTACAACTTCTATTTCAACGTACACCACTTTCTGTGTCTCAAATTTGTACTGACCCAACAGAAGTAGCATCATATTCTAGATGATGCTTCTTTGTTAAAGTTTGTTTTATCATGTTGATTTTGTGTTCTACTATGAACATGCATAAGGATCTAATTTGTTACCCTATTCTCATCAAGCTTAACAAACACAACTAACAAAATTGTAGATACACGCCAAGTCTATTTTGTGAATGGTTTGCTGACACAAAACTATGTTATAAATATGATTTTCTGTTTTTGTACCATCAGTCTGATTGGTGTGTATTTTGTTGTTTTTCTACACTTTTTTGTGCAGTATCTGAAAGAAGGGCTTTCCAGGATAGATGAAAGTTGGGCAGCTGCCCGTTTTGATTCATTGCCTCATGTTGTCCATATTTTGACATCAAAGGATCGGGAGGGTGAAGTTCAGTTCTTGAAGGAACAAAGTGATCTCGTTGAGGATGTTGTGGATGAAGTTGTGCATGTTTATCATCATGGGTTCAATAAAGCAATTCAAAACTATTCCCAGGTTAGTCATACCTTGGATAAGCTATTATCTGATGTTTACGAGTTGAAGAAACCAATAAATAGTCATGTTTTTTATTGCTTGCAGATCCTGCGGTTGTTTAGTGAATCTGCTGAAAGCATATCTGTTCTTAAGGTTGATATGGCAAATGCAAAGAAACTTTTAGGCTCTCGCAATAAGCAATTGCATCAATTATGGTATCGATCTCTTACTCTGCGCCATGTACTAGCTTTGTTGGATCAAATTGAGAGTGTATCAAAGGTATGTAACTTTGTGTGAAGGCTATACAATAAATTTGTGCCTGAAATCCTGCAGGGTATTTGAAAAAAAAATGTAGTAAGATTCTTTTATAAATTTTCTTCTTTATTTCGAATAATTTATTTTAAATTAAGAAGTTGAGCTTTAGTGGCTCCTAAATTTTCTAAATCTACCACCTGACCAGACCAGCTGGTTATTATTTATCATCTTCTTCCACTGAGTTATAGGCAAGGTTGTATTGAGTTAGTTAATTAAGGACATGATAGTACCTTCTGTACTTTGTTAAATCTTACTTCTGTGTAATATTTGTCATCGCATGCTATTCCTTTCCTGTTGTAAGCTCTGTTGGTTGGTTCATCTTTCATGACATGAAGTTGAAGCATTGTAGCCATCTCCAAACTTGTAAATTTACATATACATATACTAAACTTAAGTATGGATGTTTACAGGTTCCTGCTCGTATTGAGAAACTGATCGCAGACAAGCAGTTATACGCTGCAGTCCAGCTGCATGTGCAGTCAATGCTGGTGCTTGAGAGAGAAGGCCTTCAAGTGGTAGGGTACAAACTCCATTTCTTTGTATTGAATTTCAATTGGAGTTTATATATGTTTCTAGCTAGTATGCCCTCCATCTTGCCTCCTCTTACCTTTTTTTTTTTTAAGTAGACTGCCATTGATGTATGTTAACCTAGTTCTACGTCAGGATCTTTCTTCTTGGAAAAACATGACTTGTTATAGTGTTATGTACAATTTGTTTTACATCTGAATTATCTTAATTTTTTCAATTGAAGTTATTTGTCTGCTCAGCATTGATTGTTTATTCCTGAGTTTTCTTGAAATTCTGAGTGGCACAATTTGTTTCTTGTGATGTAATTTTCATTTATCTGTATTTTGCTCATTTAATACAATTTATGTGCTGGTATTTTTGTGCAGGTTGGTGCTCTTCAAGATGTTCGATCAGAACTAGCAAAGTTGCGTGGGACACTGTTCTATAAAGTTTTGGAAGAACTGCATAATCATATTTATAATAAGGGCGAATACAAGTAGGTCTTTCTTTTGTATCTTCATATCTTTGATGAAGCTGTCCTAAAATCTTCTATTTAAGATCTCGAAAGCAAAGTTTGCAATACCGAATGATACTTCCCGTACCGGGCGGTATGTACTAGTCCGTTAGCAGACCGGTACACGGACCACTCGCTACCGAGCGGTAGCATCGATTGAGGCCGTTATCGTCGACGGTGATCGAGGGAGAAGAAAGAGGGAGAAGGTGAAAGAAGAGGCAAAAGGGGAAGAAAGAAATAAGAAAAAAAAAAGGAGAACCTGAGATCAGCGTCGCTGTCCTCGTTTGCGACGACTTCTCGTCCGCGCACGGGGAGAAGAGTCGGCGCCACGGGGCGAAGAGAGGCA